CTCAAGACTTACGGCCGTATTATTAAACAACATCTTCCCTTGAAGAGGGTAGTCGTGTTTCAACCAGAGTTTTAAACTAAAATTTATTTATAATATTGGAATTAGTTAATTTTACCGCCACACCGCCCCGTTAAGTACTGTACTGCGGAGTCCCCCAGGACTCATTTAGTTTAAAACTCGAGTTGAAACACGACGACCCTCTTCAAGGGAAGATGTTGTTTAATAATACGGGCGTTAGAATTTCCTTTCGAGCAAAATTACCAATACCAAAGTACTGTTACTTTATCACGAAGAAATCCACTAACGCTTTGGTCATGGAATTAATAAGTTTACTGAGATGTGAGGGAAATAATTCTCTCTTGGGTTTTAAATGCAGATGAATGGGTGTATTTACTAATCTAAAATACGTGCTTAAAGACCTTAGTTGTAACCTCAACCCAGAACATGGCAAGGTTTCTCAATAGGTGTTGTGCATTTTGTCAACAACGAATGAAATTTATTATAATTTCTCAAAACACAAACATTTCACGGTCTATGTTAGTATTTAGTGCACAGTGCTATGAGGGAAAAGACCCAACTAAGCCATGTAAATGAATCGATATGGGAAAAAAATAAGAGTTTGTGGTGATATCAATAACTTTATCTCTCATGACTGAACAACACAAAACACCTTCTCTGATATTACACCAAATTAATTAATACTTCCCAATGGTATGACTAGATAACACAATAAATTATATCTTCAACAAATTATTATCTCCCGAAAAATAATTCTTATAAATGGATTATACATAGATAATTAGCAACGATCGGTACTAGAAGCTGACCACACAATACAGTTTTGTAATAGGGGGATGCTAGGGCCTGGATGACACCCAGTACATCCTCTAGTGGTGTGAGCTTAAGACACAACATCATGGTTATTACAGCATCACGACATTTTCCCCTCTTGACTGACCAATTTCACAATTTCCTGACATTTAACCTGACTTTACTAACCAATTTCAAACTTCACTGACAATTCTCTAACCAATTTCATATTTTCCTGACACTTACATTATCCATTTCATTATATTCTGACAATATGAAACTAAACAGAGAAAGAATAAAAAAAGAAAAAAACAATAGACGAGGAAAAATATAATGGGAAAAAATCGGCAAGTGAATACAAAAAGAAAATGGGAAGGTGGGAAAAAAAAACAAGATGGAAGGTGAGAGAAAAACAAGATGGAGGGTGAGAGAAAAACAAGATGGAGGGTGAGAGAAAAACAAGATGGAGGGTGAGAGAAAAACAAGATGGAGGGTGAGAGAAAATCAAGATGGAGGGTGAGAGAAAAACAAGATGGAGGGTAAGAGAAAAACAAGATGGAGGGTGAGAGGAAACAAGATGAAATGAAGATAAGAGAGAGAGAGAGATAATGAATCATGAAGATTAAAAAAGAGGAAGAGTAAGGATGAAAAAGGGGGGTGAGGAGGTGAAAGAGGGGAGGAGGAAGTGAAAGAAGGAGGAGGAGGAGGTGAAGGGAGGGAGGAAATACAGAGAGGGAGGAGGAGGAAGTAAAGAGGAGGAGGAAGTGAAAGGGGAGGAGGAAGTAAAGGAGGAGGAGGAAGTGAGAAAGAGGGAGGGAGGAAATTAGAAAGAGGAGGGTGAGAGTGAAAGGGAGGGGTGAGAGTGAAGAGGGAGGGAGGAGGGAGTGAAAGAGGAGGAGGAGGAGTGAAAGAGGAGGGTGAGGGAAGTGAAAGAGGGAGGGTGAGGGAAGTGAAAGGAGAGTGAGGAAGTGAAAGGAGGGTGAGGGAAGTGAAAGAAGGGAGGGTGAGGGAAGCCAGAAAGGGAGGGTGAGGAGGCAGAAAGAGGGAGGAGGGAGGAAGTGAAAAAAAGGGAGGAGGAGGAAGTGAAAGAGGAGGGGATGGGGAAGTGAAAGAGGAGGAGGAGGAAGTGAAAGAGGGAGGAGGATGAAAGGAGGTGGAGTGAAAGAGGAGGGTGAGAGTGAAAGAGGAGGGGTGAGGAAGTGAAAAGGAGGGTGAGAGTGAGAGAGGAGGGTGAGGAAGTGAGAGAGGAGGGTGAGGGAGTGGGAGAGGAGGTTGAGGGAGTGAAGGAGGAGGTGAGAGTGAAAGAGAATTGAGGTGGGAGAGGAGGGTGGGGAGTGAAAGAGGAGGAGGTGAGGAGGTGGGGAGAGGAGGGTGAGTGAGGAGGGAAGGGGTGGGGAGTGAAAGGAGGTGGGAGGTGAGAGGAGGGAGGGTGAGTGAGAAGGAAGGGTGAGGAAGTGAAAGGAGGGTGAGAGTGAAAGAGGAGGGTGAGGGAGTAGAGAGAGGAGGGGTGAGAGTGAAAGAAGGGAGAGTGAGAGTGGGGAGGGAAGGGTGAGGAAGTGAAAGAGGAGGAGGAGGAAGTGAAAGAGGAGGGTGAGGAAGTGAAAGAGGAGGGTGAGGAAGTGAAAGAGGAGGGTGAGGAAGTGAGAGGGAAGGGTGAGGAAGTGAAAGAGGAGGAAGTGAAAGAGGAGGATGAGGAGGAGAGGGTAGGGCTGAAATGAGAGTAAATGGGAAAGACAAAAATCGACTAAGTTTTGAGGATGTGAAGAAAAAAGGATGAATTAAGAAAGAGAAAACAAAAGGAAAAGAAGGTGTGGTGGTGGGTGGTTGAGGTGGGCAGGCAGGCAGGCAAGGTGGATAGGTAGGTGGCGTCGTGTTGCTCGCAGCCGTCACCATGGTAACATCTTAACCCACCCCGCGTATCCTCCTATCACATCAAAGGCACAACCAGACTCCACTCCACACTCCCACAATCCTTACAGGAAATGAAGGAACACATTCTCCTGCCACCACCCTCAAGATGTCACTCCGACATACTTAGAAACCTTAATAAGAGGATATTAACATGGTGAATTAATCGTATTTAACCTCGAGATTAACCAACCTGGCACTAACCTAACTTAAGCTAACCTAATTTAAGCTAATCTAAGCTAACCTAAACTGCCCAAACCTAACCTAACTTAACCTGAGCTGACCTAATCCCCCCAGGTAGAGTTATAGGTTAGTCTTTCTTCAGGTAAATTAAGCTAGGATGCCTAATCTTCAAGTGATCCGAGTTTTATGGTGTTGGGCCTTCATATGACTATCTGATCAAGCACCTTGTTTACATACACCGTTCGCACGCTACATCCGGTATGGCAAATCCGGTCTAATGTGTCATAAATGGACTTAATGAGGATTATTACTTAAGCTGGAAATAATGAACCACCTCTTGAACCCGGATGTTGATACAATACGCTAAATCACACCACCTACAGTGTCCCAAGGTGTACAATCCCCCCCCTCCCCTCCCCTCCCCTCCCCTCCCCTCCTCCTCTGGTTCTCACTGCAGGAGGGAAGATAATTTCTACGTGGAGGTTTTCTTATGTGTAAATTATGCTGTATATCTCGCGTTCCTGTTTCGGCTATGTCATAAATCATCCTGTCCTTTTTAGTAAACATTAACATATACGAGTATTATAAGTTGCTTTGCCTCGCTACTGTTATTGTGGTTTTAAAATATGTTAAAATTAATAAAATCATGTTTTTTATAATGTTAATATTAAAACCATTCATTAATAGTCTGCTTTATGATAAAATAACATGAACGTTCAAATTAAACTATCGAACACATATCAAGACAGTGTGGTGATCTTGAAGCAGCATCACCACGGCCTCCGGGTCTCCCACTCTCGTTTCATTATCGAGGAGGCTCCAGGCTCTCATAAGCTGACATCTTACTCTGATTGTATTTTCCCTTATATAAGACAGACAGTGATTATATTAATACGGTCTCGGAGTTCAACTGTTTCTTTTAATATATATATATTTTTTTTCAGTTTCCGATTATATTCCCTTTTTCATGTTATCAATAGCTACCTAAGTAAACAAACGAGCTGATACAAAAAAAATTAATATCTTGACGTCTTCTGGTGAGTGTCAAGTCGCTAGTTCATCCCGACCAACTTTGTTTACCTAAGGGCAGTGTCTTAACCCTACAACACGTTAACTTAACACAGCGTGATATAAAGACACGTATTCTTACTAACTGAAGCCATAGTTATAAATATATTCGCTGCAATGTTACATACTTCCTGCAGTCTCTTTTCCTCACCTCAAAAATTTACACAGTTTGTACACAGAGTTGGGAACTGTAACACACACACACACACACACACACACACACACACACACACACACACACACACACACACACACACACACACACACACACACACACACGTATCCACACTATCCACTTCAGTTTCCAATATATCGGGTCCCCACAACCTCTATTTCCCGTCCTACACTAAGACAACCCCCACGCAGGAGGTAATAAATATCATCCCTAAATATTGCCAATAACTGTCGCACTTTCACCTACTCCACCTACCTGAGAACCCAAGCCATGTCCTATATTGATTCCTTATAATGAGGCCAATAATAGTCTCTCCTGGCGCGTATTGAATATGTAAGACCCTGTGAGGCGGTTGTCAAGTATAGTTCTCTGGTCTTGTTGATAATTATGTGTAAATCACCTCAAGTGTTTTTTGCTGTGTTATTATTATTGTGATTATTAATTTTGTTGTTTGCTTATGTTTTAACTGAAAATGTTAAAATATGTTTAGTGTCCCGCTTCCAGGCAATGACTCGGGGGGGCCCCTAGTCGACCACATCGACTAGCTACCCACCTGTGTAGTTGGGGGAAGTGAGTGCAATGTTAAGAGTGCAATGCCGGCACCCGCTGTGTCCTTGTGTACCTAGAGATTAGAGTCTTCAGTGTGGGACCTACATTCACGTTTTCTTATTAGGATCAGAGAGTAACAACGTCTTAGGAACCAGCTACCGGACGAGTAATGAACAACAAGAACATGTTTTTGGTCCTTTAAATCAATGAACAACGACATTTCAGGACGTACAGCATCTCCCTGGTACCTGTCAGTCACCATAAAAAAAACGCGTCATATGAACAAACAACAAGTGTCAGAACCTACCTGCGACGACGTTGTCCGCCTGTGGTAGTCGCTGGAGGACGTGGGTGATGAGGCCGACCTCAGTGCACGCCTGCAGGTTACGTACACTCTTGCGCAGGATCGCGATGAACACTGACCATATCTCAGCCTGTAAACATGACACCTGTTAGCCTACAAATGTTAACACCGTACAAAACTGTTTACACTACAGTACACACACACCTGTTAAACACTAAATACACCGGATAAAACTAAAAACACATGTTAACACTACAACACCTGTTAACATTACAAACACCTGTTAACACCACAAACACCTGTTAACACTACAAACACCTGTTAACACTTCACACCTGTTTATACCTGCCTGCAAACAATAGGTATAAATGTCATCAGATAACTTACACTATTTTCGATAACTTTACAATGGTACCTTCAACGCAGCGTCGACAAACTCAACTTTTGACCTTTTCAATGATTCATGTTTAGCCTCAAGCTCAGACCTTGACCTCCAGCACATTAACTTACAGTACATCTGTTGTTTTGTACCTCGTTCGGTAATGGCAGATGCTGGTGGAAAAATCTATCTATATATATATATAAAACAAAGAAGTATGTCTGTGTGTTTGTGTGTCCGAACGAGAATCTCGGAAACTACTTTACCGATCTGTAGTGATGATGGATGGTGTTGTATGTAGTGATGATGGATGGTGTTATATGTAGTGATGATGGATGATGTTATATATAGAATATGAAAAGTATCCCTCTGTTGTCATTGGCAACATGGATAAGAAATGTGAATACTGCTGTGCAAAGAAGTACAAAGGAGAATCTGCTGGACTGTGCTGCTCTCATGGGAAAGTACGACTGCCAAATTTGGAAAAACCACCACAACCATTGAAGACTCTCATGCTGGGAACAACACCAGAGTCAAAACACTTCTTGGAAAATATACGGAAGTACAATTCATGGTTCCAGATGACATCCTTTGGAGCTACCAGAGTAGTTCGTGAGCACGGATACATGCCCACATTCAAAGTCCAGGGTCAAGTCTATCACAAAGCAGGATCCCTCTTACCACCGGAAGATGAGCAGGCAAAGTTCCTCGAAATCTACTTCATGGGAGATCATGAAAAGCAGACTACTATCAGGTGCGGCAACATTCAAGGTGTCAGACATGACATTGTCCTATCTATCCAAAAAATGCTGCATGAGCGCAACACGTATGTACAGTCATGTAAAAATGCCCTGGAAAACATGCCTTCTGACGAGTACTAAGTCAGGATCAAAGCAGACACCTTAATGCACTACAGTGAGACAATGTGGAGCCTCCCGGAGGGTGGCGTCCGTGTCCTCGCGAAAGAGCCGCCCGGAGGGCGGCGATTCCGCTAGTATACAATAACAGTAAAAATATCAATAATAACAACATTTTACAATAATAACATTCATATCGCTTCTATCATGGTTACAAAAAACAGTACAAAAAACCTAGCTCACTCCTAAGTCAGAAACACACACAATCCTTCACAAAGAATCAACTCAAAGAGAGAGAGAGAGAGAGAGAGAGAGAGAGAGAGAGAGAGAGAGAGAGAGAGAGAGAGAGAGAGAGAGATATTAGTCTATCACAAATTTCAACCTCTAAAGATCCAATTTGGGTTATGATATGACAAGTAATAAGATGGCAGAGTTGAAGACTGCGGCAATGTTCTCCGTCTTCCATTAACATCACCATTACCATCGTCATCATTATCATCATCATCATCCTTATCATCATTACCATCATCATCATCAATATCATCAACAAATATTATCAACAACATCATCATCATCATCATCATCATCATCATCATCATCATCCTTATCGTCACCATCATCATCATCACTCTGGGCTGAAAGCACTTAAAAGTCATCATGAGGACAAAAATCGACTTCAGTAAAAAATTCCCCACTGAGGGAAGTTTCGGTACAGAGCGAGAAGAAAAAAGAAAGTGACTGGCTTCTTTCTCCTCCTTCCCGTCCACCTCCCGTCCACCTCCCGTCCCCTTCGATCCTCCCCCGTCCACCCCGTCCGTCTGTAACACACCGTCACAAGTCCTTTTCTACACTTTTTTTTATTAATGTCTCAATCTCTACCTGACGCAGAGAGCAAGTTCGAACCCCCACTAAACAGACAGTATAAAGTCCGAACCCCACTAAAACAGACAGTATAAAGTCCGAACCTCACCAAACAGGATATATAAAGTCCAAACACCTCACCCAAACAGACAGCAAAGTCCGAACCCTCACCAAACAGACAGTATAAAGTCCGAACCCTCACCAAACAGACAGTATAAAGTCCGGAACCCTCACCAAACAGACAGTATAAAAGTCCGAACCCTCACCAAACAGACAGTATAAAGTCCGAACCCCTCACCAAACAGACAGTGTAAAGTCCGAACCCCTCACCAAACAGACAGTATAAAGTCCGAACACCTCACCAAACAGACAGTATAAAGTCCGAACCCCTCACCAAACAGACAGTATAAAGTCCGAACACCTCACCAAACAGACAGTATAAAGTCCGAACCCCTCACCAAACAGACAGTGTAAAGTCAGAACCCCTCACCAAACAGACAGTATAAAGTCCGAACCCCTCACCAAACAGACAGTGTAAAGTCAGAACACCTCACCAAACAGACAGTGTAAAGTCAGAACCCCTCACCAAACAGACAGAAGAAAAAGCAAGCATCTTTTTCTCAAGAATTGTATATCTAAAATCTCTACCTAAGACGCCGAGGACAACACAAGGAACCTCTTTCAGCCGAGATATAAACAGCGTCTCCACGGAGGAACACGAGGCGCTGGCAAGAGAGCAGCACAGCAGGTGAGAATGTCTTTGTTCCGCCCACAAGAAAACGTGTTTATAAAAATTCTACCAACTTTATTGTTGAGAATAATTTCGGCTTGACTTAACCTAACTTAATTTATCCTAACCTAACAATTCCTTATCTTAATTAACATAACCTAAGTCGTCCAAACCTAACCTAACCAAGTATTACCTTACTAAACCTAACTTAATTTATCTAAACCTAACCTAACCAATCCTTACCTTATGCTAACCTAATCCATCAAAACCTAACCTAATCCAAACCGAAACATATTTAACTTAATCTAAACCCAAACTAAACATACCCAATCCAACTTAACCATATTTAATAGCACGAAAAACTTGTTAGACGTGGATCAAAACACAACAATCATTAGTACTTGTGCCATACGTGAGTCAATCTGTATACAGCCAATAAAACCTTGATACTATTTAAATACAAACGAACTGACAGACGAACGGACTAACAAGCGAAAATACAAACAAACGGACAGCAGAAAAAAAAGGAGAAACGGATAAAAGGACAGAAAAATGGAAGGAAAAACGGATAAACAAATCAATGGACAGATTGACAAACGAACAGACGGACACAAACAAAACAAACCAACATACACACGGGTGAACTTACGCCAAAACCTCACCTCATTTTAACCATCTGAAGTCGTCACCATTTACTAACAACACCCAAAAATAATTACTGTAAAGATGTTTCTAATTTCTTCTCATATAACTTCTAAATAACCTTTAACTCTCTCAAAATAGCCAATTAGTTCCTTCATCCTCGACTAGGAGGAGTTTTTTTTTTTTATTCCCTCGAGTAGGAAAATCCTCTTATTGATGATCGCAATGACGGTGGTGTAGGTACGCTCACTAAGCCTTCACTAATGACAATATAAAGAAGAGAAGAGAAGAGAAGAGAAGAGAAGAGAAGAGATAGTGAAGAGAAGAGAAGAGAAGAGAAGAGAAGATATAGAGATAGAGAAGAGAAGAGAGATCAAACAATTCTTAAGCCTTCACTAATGGCAATGGTTGTATATAGTAATACCCATTATTTGTAGCGTTCTCTTGGGGGATAAGGAAGGAAGAGGGGGGTGAAGGGGGAGAGTAGGGGGGGAGAAAGGGGGAGAGTAGGGGGAAGAAGTGGGAGATTGGGAGGAAGGTAGAGTGGGGAGAGGAAAGGGGAGAGTAGGGGGTGGGGTAGGGGGGGGGGGAAGAAGCGGGTCTCATAATGTGTGTCTGTATAATCAAAAACGAACAAAAACGCTAACAGATTACCAAACCAATTATGAATTCGGCTTAGTCATTGTACTCAAAGGTTTAAGATATCGTACTCAGGGGGTTAAGATAATGTACTCAAGTTCAATAATCGTATTTAAGGGTTAAGACACCATATACTCAAGGGGTTTATCCATTGTGCTTAGGGAATTAAGACACCGTACTCACTAGATTAATTCATTGTACTCAAGGCATTAATAATCGTACTCGTGGGGTTCTATACATGAAGTGACAGCACCAACGCTAACTTACAGCCCTTACTCAGAGACGCCGCTCAAGACGCTGTCCAATTACAAGATTCCTCCTCTACTGCAACATTTCCATTTGCATATCAATCAATATTTCGAATGTCTTAGTACTACAGTCATGAGACGAACTATTATGAAACGTGACAAAAACAAAATAAAAATTCATGCATCTGAAGGAATCTTGTTTTAGATCTTATGACACCTGACAAGAAGTTGGATACACCTGAAGAACACATGTAAACAAACTAACAAATATTTTCTGTATTTTGCATAATCTTACAGGTGACAGTATTTTTGTTTCTGTCTAAATAAGGGACAGTTTGACATCATAAAGGCCAGTCACATCTACACACATATCTTACACACCTGACGAAAACTCAAGACGGAAAATTTCAGAATCTTTGCCAAAAATGTTTAAGACGGGAATATTTCGGAATCTTCAAGTCAGAACAACAGGACGTAACACCCAGTTCTCTTCACCTCCTGGACACCATTCATAAGTTTTCTCTCGCCCTGGGTCTCTTTCCAGCGCCTTATTCTTTCCACGCCTCTGAAGTTTCTTTTGTCAGTTTCGTCTCAATGTCAACTGTAATTTTTCCTCCCGTGTTCTCTCCATTACGTTAGTGTTGCTCCAGGAGAGAGAGAGAGAGAGAGAGAGTGTGTAATAATGATAATAATAATAATAATAATAATAAAGAACGGTTTATTGAAAAAGTTCTGCAGCCCGGACTGAAAGTATACATTGGAAATAAATGTGCG